GAGAGGACGCATGCATGAGTGAGACAGAGACAGGAGAAAGTCTCCTACCTTGGAATAGGATGCTGGATATGGGCTGCTGAACTCTGTGCTGATGAGCGCTTGGTGACTGGAACTCAAAAACAGTCTAATATGATAATTCGTTGGAATTTCTAAGTTGCGCTTATCTGACCTTTGCATCTCTGGTCACCAGTGTGGATTTCATGTGATCTCTCATTGTATGTGTGTGGTGACGAACAGTGTGGGTCAATGCACTTCCTCCCAGTTAAGACATAAGAAGACATGGATGCCCACTTAACTTGGAGGCCTTCTACCAGCTTCATCACGTGCATCGCTTTCTGGACTCGTCACGAAAGATGAGGCCTATGATTACAAGTTATGCCCTTGGATCTTGCCAATAGGGGCTATGTGCTAGCCAGTGTAGGAACCATCTTGGACAATCGAATTATGCAAGATATAGGAAAAAACTGAAGCATGTGATAGGTGTAGTCGTTTATGATCTTATGGAGATTGTAGGGGCTTACGGGATCTTCCTTCCTGGTGAAAAAGAAGGAATTATGAAGCTAGACACTCACTTCCCCCCAGTTAAGACATAAGAAGACATTGATGCCCACTTAACTTGGAGGCCTTCTACCAGCTTCATCACGTGCATCGCTTTCTGGACTCGTCACGAAAGACGAGGCCTATGATTACAAGTTATGCCCTTGGATCTCTCCAATAGGGGCTATGTGCTAGCCAGTGTAGGAACCATCTTGGACAATCGAATTATGCAAGATATAGGAAAAAACTGAAGCATGTGATGGGTGTAGTCGTTTATGATCTTATGGAGATTGTAGGGGCTTACGGAATCTTCCTTCCTGGTGAAAAAGAAGGAATTATGAAGCTAGACACTAGGGTAAACATTTACAAGAAAAACACCCCCATTGGCATACTCATCTATCAACGGAAATGAGTGCAAACAGAAGGGTTGCTATGGAAGGAGGGTGAGCAAACGAGTCTATTTGTTTGCAGTGCGTATTTGGCCTCTTATGCTTGATAGTTTGGACTACATGATGCATCAGTTTGGCTTTCTTGTGCATGCAAAACCCATCTCGGGTGGCAGTTAATTTTCTGAAGCCCAACCTGCGTGAAGGTGGCATTGGATACTATGTTGGTCTGGCCGGAGGAGCACCAGCATTGACATCTGAGTTCATTTGTATTGTTGTATTGCTCGTATTCAGATGGTATCTTGGTGCATTGTGCTCTCTGCTTGGTACATGACTATCTGGGCTACTTCGTTATTTTGCAATTTGGATTTCGATCTATCACTCACTCATATTCCTTGCATTTTTATTTATTTATTTAATATTTTCCTTGGAAAGATAACAACAAAATCTACAAGCACTTTTTTTTTTAGAATTTTTCACGCATTCTTCTGAGCAGAGAAAATCAGTGAAGTTGGAGTCCTTTTTCCATTTGGCCACATATGGCTGAGTGGTAAAAATGGTAAATATGTCGAATCAGCGCGGCGATTGTTTTGCGGTCTTAATGATTTTTTTTAAAAATTCTGATATTTTCCTGGAAAGACCACGACTGTTGCAAATTGCAGGACTGCACCCGCCGGTATCCACCGCCTTGGACAGCCTGCGTGTGGGACTCCCGACAACGCCACCCCTTCTTGTTTCTTTTTGCAGTCCGCTTCCACCTGACGACCAGCCGTTCCTTTTTGTAAAAGCCCTGGTTCTACGAGAGCCAGTTGTAGATCGTCCACAATATCACCAACGATCGGTCCCCCCAAAACTTCACCCCCCTAAGAACCTACTTGCGTCCTGGTCGCCCACTGTGGAAAATGCGACACCTTGACAGAGACGCTGAAGCCCACTATACTGCAGCCTTACGGCTGAGAACTCTATCAATAGCGGTCCGGCCCCGAAAGCCGTGGTGCTAGACTGCAACAGCAACGAGTTGCCTTCTTTGCAAGGTTAGGGCCGTCTACAGGCCTTCAAACCACCACTCCAAGTTCCTTGTCACTGTAGATTTGCCTCGGACCGGTTTCCACAGCAAAATCTGCAGTTATCAGGCAAGGTTAAAGTTCGGAGGGAAAAGCCTGGTGGGCCCTAAACATATCTATCAAAATCAAAAAAGGAAAAAGAAAATAAAAGATTTGGATAGTTTTGGATGCAATAGCAGTCAGATAAATTCTGGAAGTCCTTGCGTGAGTATGCCCTCCGCAAGGGCCTTCCCAAAGAATGTGACGTACCAAGTGAAACAAAAGAAGGGAAAATGAAGAGAGATTTGACAGTGATAGCATTCAGATACATTTTGAAAAGTACTAGTGGGAGTATGCCCTCGAGGCATTTCCACGCATGTGCAAAACGCCCTGCCTTGCTGGCAGGGCACTAAGATACAAAACTAAAAGGGCCTTTACCCGATTCAGCCCCTGTTTGACAAAAGCAGCATATTGGGGTCCCTCGCCCAGAGCCCAATTCGTGAAAGCAGATCAAAAGACATGTTCTCTGGGTCAAAGGTCACATCCTGGCTAAAGTAAAGACAATATCAAAGGTCATGGTTGAGCCCTGGACGAACAGTCACCATGTTTAGATTTGGAGGTCACATCTGTTCGCCAGGGAAAATGCAAGTCATGTCTATTCAAACAAGGGATGTGTCTGTACGTGCAGTCAATGTGTCTGTTCAAGCAGAAGGAGTGTCTGTTCGTGCATTGGATGTGTCTGTCCAGCGGAAGTCAAAGAGTTACGTTCCAGTCGTATTCGAATCAGAAAGAAAGTCTAGATTCAGATTGGGAGTCCAAAATCAAGGCCTAAAGGCCGCAGCAGCAGCAACCCCTGAAGGAAAGGGATTTGGGATGCATACACAGAGGCTGGGACTGGGAAAGGACCAGGACAGCCAAACTTCAGACCTCGCCGGGGGAGGCCAGCACTATAAGAAACGAGGCAGCCTCCCCCACAGGCAGATTTCCAGAGGCATTGATGCGTGGAAGTGGCGCGTGGAAGTGCTGAGCCACTTGTGCGCTATAGTGCTGGGAAGGCGCTGGCTGAAGAGGAGCTGCGCTAGGAACAAGGGAGGCTGGGCGCTGGCTGTAGGGAAGCCATAGCTGCGCCAGCCTATGTTAGTACTAGCAGGGTTAGTCAGTAGTGGTGTATCAGTGAGTGCCATTCAGAGTAGATCTTCGTAGATGAGAGTGTGCATGCATAGTGTAGGGAAGAGAACCAAGACAGAGTTATTGAGAGAGAGAGAGAGAGAGAGAGAGAGAGAGAGAGAGAGAGAGAGAGAGAGAGAGAGAGAGAGAGAGANAGTTATTGAGAGAGAGAGAGAGAGAGAGAGAGAGAGAGAGAGAGAGAGAGAGAGAGAGAGAGAGAGAGAGAGAGAGAGAGAGAGAGAGAGAGAGGCAGGGAGTGAGTCTGGATATGGTGAACACTTACCTGTTGGCGCCACACCTGTGATCTGAAGGAGGGCATTGGCTGAGGCAGGTTCTTGGTTCTTATCTCATCTCAATCTGTTGCATGACGAGGGGGACCTACCTTTTGTCTGCGCTGAACTCTGGAACTCATGATACTCTTTGTATTAAGTGACATTGATAATATAAGCTGCGCTACTTGGTTCTTATCTCATCTCAATCTGGTTTTGTGCGAGGCCACTTTGTACGTGTGATGACATGTATGCATGCGGTTTGATGCTCTCGAGCAAGCTGTGAACAATCAGGTTCCTTGCAATTCTGGTATCGGAGCAGATACTTGTTGTACTCACTGCGCTGGCATGAGTAAGGCGGGCGAGAAGGAGAAGAGAACGCTGGCTTGTTGATGATGATGGTGATAGTGGAAGAAGAAGTGGATAGGGATATGGGAGAGGAGTAAGCCAAAGAGGAAGGGGCAGAAGTGATACTTACCTGGAGCGTGGAGTGCGGAGCGACGAGGAGTCTTCATCGACCATCGCTGCAAAAGAGAGAAGCACCCTTTACCTCTTACCTGGCTGCATGTGTGTGTGCATCACTACTCCTCATCCTCTCTGGGGTCGTTGCTGCTGCTATCCAATCGAGTCACAAGGTCTGTAGTCTGGATGGTCACGTCAGGGTCGAAAGTGATCAGAGTCCTATCTTCTACTCGCTAGTCTGAAGTCTGCACTGTAGTCAAGGGCAGAGTACGCTGGGAGATGGTGGCAGTCTGCCACGTCAGTGTGCAAGCACGATATAAGGCATAACTAAACTGGGTAGAGATAGGTTGGGATCAAAGTATCGTCCAGCCATCTGATCGAGTACCACTCCAGCTCTATCTGCGCAGAAGGACACGCAGACAGGGTCAGAAAAGAAGATAAAAGAAAAAAAGAAAGAACAACATTCATCACCAGACAAGATCAAGTGTGATATCTGTTTTAATTAGTTCAATATTTAAGTTGACAACAGACAGCAAAGAAAAAAGTCTTATTGTATATTAAAGTATTGGAAGTTCTGAAATTCGTCCCTATTAAGGCAGCGACACGCAGAGTTTGGGGGGGGGGGGGAAAAAAACAGACAAAGCAAAGTTGTTTTATTCCATCCACTTAGTTTAGCCTAAGGATAACAGTTGGAGGCTTACCTGGTGGGACCAGGGGAGGGTTCCCTGTGCTAAGTTCCACCATGGTGGATGACTTCCCGATGCAGGGCTTGATTGCCCTTTCTGTTCTGTTGGGCCCGTTGTTCCGAATTTTCTTTCCCCTGGGCTTTGGGAGAGTGTGTACCGCCCGTATGATGGAAACAAGATCAGGCAAAATTAAGCAGGGGTTGCCGGCGGCGGAGCAAGCAGAAGTGGATCGCCGCCTGGCTGAAAAGAAGAAGGAAAAAGAACAGAAAAAGAAACAAAAGGAAGAAGAGGCAAAGAAAGTGAAAGAAGAAAGAGAAAAGCTAGAGAAAGAAATGAAAGAAAAGGAAAGGAAACACCAGGAAGAGCTAAAAGCCGTTGAAGAGGAAGAAGAAGAAGAAGAAGAGGAAAATGGTGAGAGGTTGTATCGTCGTCAGACCGAATGAGGGGAGTCCAGCAGGCCAAGTGGCATCACTTTTCAGCCCGCGAACATGAACTGGCTTGATCAGTATGGGTATCGGACTCCCATGTATGTTGGGTCAGAAGAGGATAAAAATGCGTTTGTGGAACTCTTAGCTGCAACAGAAGATCCTACGGAAAAAGAGCTTTTCATTCAAGAGAAGAAATCGGAATTAAGTAACAAAATGGTAGCCGCAAAAAGACAAGAGTTCGACGAAAAGAAAAGACCGGAGGAAGAAGGGGAGCGACTTCAAAGGCAATTGCAGGAACAAAAGGCACAAGAACAAAAACCTGCTATTGACGATCGACTTTCCCTCATTACCGATACACTCCTCCATACCAATCAACAACTGGCGGCATTAACTAAAAATGTCCAGGGCCTCGAACAGCACCAATTTGAGTTCGAAGGGGTCTGGAACAACTTCTTGCAAAGATCCTCACAACAAATTGACAAACATATAGTCACTTGTATAGAGAGTCTAGATGAGCAGCTGGCCAAGAGATTGGCAGATCCCGCCGTGGCCAAGAAAATATTAGGCGGCGGAGGAGGAGGCGGAGGAGACGGAGATGGAGATGGCGGAGACGGTGATAGGAAGGGAAAGGGAATGAAGCAGGAGGAAACTGGGGATGTCAGAAAGATCAAAGTAAAAATCCCATGGACGTACACGGGGAAAAAGGACGAAAGTGTCTTACACTGGATTGCAGCCGTGGAGTCATACGTCTACGGACAACGCATTCCGTATTGGGACCGAGTTCTCATGGCCAATTCGTGTACGGTGAGAGATGCAATGAGTTTCGCCATTTCACTGCAAAAAGAAGTTGGTTGCCAAACGATGGTTGAATACTCTCAGCAAACGAGAATTGAGGACTTTTTTAAGGTCGTCAGAGAGCGGTTCGAAGATAAAAATTTGGCAAGAAGAACTGAAATGTTAATTCTAAATATAGCCGTCAGGAAATGGAAAAGTGCATTCGCACTTAAAGCAACCATGAACGAACTTTAGCAATGCGCTGAACATGGACTTACCCCCGCACAAATTCTTAATAATTTCGCAAGGGCACTTCCTCTCCGTACTCAACTCTACCCTCGAACAGAGGAAGGAATGACCTATGAGAAGTTCAGCAAGATCGCGAAAGATCATGCTGGCTTTCTAGCCGAAGCAAATTACTGTCATTATTGGAAAGATCTGCAGGCGGGGAAAAGATGGCAGAACCGCACAATCTCAGGGAATATACCTGGGAAAGACAACCTCCTTCTGACCTTTGAAGAAGGCGGTGTTGAAACTCTTTCCAATGACCAGATAGATTATGGTCTTGAGGAAGGACCCAGCGGTTCGGTAGCTCAGGAGGGGAGCTACGCAACCGTTGCAGCCCGCGGGGGAGGGTGACAAGGAAGAGGATGCGGCCGAGGAAGAGGAGGCCGTGGACGCGGTGGAAGAGGACCCGGTACCCAGAGGGGTGGTGGCGAAGGAAGCTACTACGTGGGTGGAAGGGGCAATGGTCCCTCGCAAGGTGGCCGAGGTTCATATTCTACTTGGGGAAGAGGAAGAGGCGGAAGAGGCACGTGGTATACAAATTGGGATAAACCATATCCACCCCATCCAGGTCTGCCCGAATGGGAGCCTTGGAAGCAACTGGGGATAACAGAGAAAGTTTGGTAGGAGAGAAAGGTTGCCGACCAGTGCCTCAAATGTGGGGACCCCAACCACATTGTTCCTTACTGCCCTGACTACAAGGTAGTAAAAGGGAACAGCCAGTAGGGGTCTCGGTTGCCTCTACGGGAACTTCGGATGTAGAAAGAAAGACATCCTCCCGTCCGAAGGTTCCACTGGCAGAGACTGAAGAGGACGACAGTCCCCACCCAGTACACTGTCCGGAGGTAGTCAGTGTTTGTACCTCTCTAGGTGGATCCCTCGCTGGCATGGGTGATGAGTTGGCCGCTCGTCGCCAAGCCTGGACTGAAATGAGAAAACGAAGAGGACAGTTAATAATTGCAGATCTTGAAGTAAATAAAGTACGAGTTGGTGGGATGGTTGACACAGGGTCAACACGCAGCTATATAAGTAAGAAAGGGTTGCAAAAGTTGCGTCGCGGGCTTAAGGTAAAGCAATTAGATGAGCCCGTAGTAAGTAAGTTAGCTATTAGTACAGTAACTATTATGGATAAGTATGTTGAAGGGGTCAAGATATACTTCCGGCTCGAAGCAGAGGGGAAGGTGGAACGCGTTCTCCACTCTCTGACTCTCTTGGTGGAAGATAATCTTCCTTTTGACATCCTCCTAGGCATGGATTGGGGTGAAGCTGCCAATGCGGATGTGAAGTTAAGGGACCATGAGTGTTGGCTCCCTAGTCCGCAAGGTGGAAAGAAGAAAATCCGCCTTTTTCATGAATCAGGTAAGGAAAGCAGCTTATCTTGTTGTATGTGAAAAGGTATAACCTGTATGATCAAGTTTTTGTTGCATATGTGCGCCCAGTGAAAGAGGGTGAAGCTAAAGAAGAGGCAATATCCCCTGAGATTGAAAGGATTTAGAAAGAATTCGCAGATGTGGTAGAGGCCCCAAGTGGTGTGGAAGAACGACCAATCAAACATTGCATCGAAATCATACCAGGAAGCTCGATTCCTAAGGGGCCTATATATCGGATGTCACCTAAAGAGTTGAACTGCGAGCCCAGCTTGATGAATTGTTGGAAAAGGGGTGGATAAGACCTAGCTTCTCGCCCTATGCGTCTGTGCTATTTGTGCCAAAGAAAGACGGCGACGTACGCATGTGTATAGATTATAGAAGACTTAATGATATAACAGTAAAAAATGTTGAGCCATTACCAAGGATAGACGATTTGTTGGATCGAGTGCACGGTAGCAAGTACTTCACTAAGATTGATCTGAAATCTGGCTATCATCAGATTGAGGTAGGGCCAGAGGACCAATATAAGACTGCCTTCCGAACAAGGTACGGGCATTATGAGTTTGTAGTGTTGCCCTTTGGTCTTACAAATGCACCCGCGACTTTCCAAAGGACCATGAATGAGCTTTTTCGCGAATGGCTTGATAAATTCGTTGTTATATATATTGATGACATTTTGATTTTTAGTAAGAATCTGAGTGAACATTGCGAGCACCTTCGACTTGTGCTAACTAAATTGCGTGAGGCAAGGTTGAAGTTAAACCCGAAGAAGTGTGATTGGCCCAAGCGTCAGGTTTTGTATTTGGGGCATGTACTTGGTGGTGATGGGATCAAACCGGAAGATGCGAAAATTGCAGCAATCCGCGATTGGCCTAACCCCCGCACTTTGACTGAGTTGCGGTCGTTTCTCGGGTTGGCCAACTGTTATCGGAAGTTTGTTAAACACTTCACGATAATTGCTGCGCCACTTCGCAAATTGCTCAAGAAAGAAACAATATGGAAGTGGGACTCAGACTGTATGGCTTCATTTAAGCGTTTAAAAAAATGTCCGATTAACTACCCGTTTTTGAAGGTTGCTGACCCTTCCTTGCCTTTTGTTGTTACGACCGACGCCAGTCAATACGGGATAGGTGATGTACTCCAGCAAGATGATGGGAATGGGTACAGACCTGTAGAGTTTATGTCCCGACGACTGCCTAATAAGAAGGTCGCCGCTTCCACGTACGAAAGAGAGTTGTATGCTCTTCGAGAGGCTTTAAATCATTGGTGACACTATCTCTTAGGACGCCACTTTAAAGTGTACTCAGATCATGAGACACTTCGCTGGCTTAAAACGCAGGCCCGGATGACACCTAAATTGACCAGGTGGGCCGCAGAGATTGATCAATATGACTTTGAGTTAAAGCCAGTCAAGGTACAACGTTGCTGCTGACGCACTAAGTCAAAGATCTGACTTTTTCGGTGCCGTTGTGACATACTTAGATATGGGCACCGACTTGCAAGATAAAATTAGGAATGCGTATTCCACAGATCATGTCTACGGCGTTATGGTTAAATGTGTCCAAGAAGCGCCACACGAGTTTCCTAACTACTGGGTTACGCAAGGACTGTTGTTTGAGCAAACAGACATGCATGACAGGCTTTGCATTCCAAATGTGAAAGAGATTAAAATCTTGATCTTAGGGGAGTGCCATGATACTGAAGGTCATTTTGGCTGGAAAAAAACTTACGCGGGCCTATTGCCTTCCTACACATGGCCTCGCATGAAAGTCGGCTGCATTGCATATGTGCAAGGTTGTCAAGTGTGCCAAAGAAACAAGAGCACCACTCAACCTCCCCTTCGACTACTTAAGCCCTTCCCAATTCCAGCAGGTCCAGGAGACTCTGTATCCATTGATTTTATGGATACAAAGGTGAAGAGCAGGAATGGAAAAACGCAAGTCATGATTATCGTTGACAGATTAGTAAGTACGCTGTATTCGTAGCGTTACCAGCGAAAGCAAAAACCGAATTAGTAATCCGAGAATTCTTTAACCATTGGGTAAGGGATTATGAACATCCCTTAACGATTGTGAGTGACAGAGATTCACGATTCACGAGTGATCAATGCCAACAACTCATGAATGTCTATGGCTCTAAGTTAACTATGTCATCGGGTAGACACCCTGAGACAAACAAGCAGACTGAGCAAATGAATAAGATTTTGCAACAGACATTGCGCATGTACATCCGTCCCGACCAAATTGACTGGGATGAAGATTTGCCCAAAGTTGTTAGTGCCTATAACAACTCTGTTCACCTATCTACATGCATGACTCCAATGGAACTGCATTTGCGATGGCGACCCCGTAGACCCATTGATCGCTTAAATCCGGATCAAGCACATAAGCTTCCTCTAGGGACAAGTGAGTTTGCAATACAGTATCAACGAGATATTGAAAAGGTAAAGGAAAATATAATGAAGGCACAACACCAAATGGTGGAACAGGCAAATAAGCATAGAAGACCATCTCAATTCGATGTAGGTGATTTGGTATGGGTTAAATCCAAAGAGTTTCCTCCTGAGGAAAACATCTCTCAGAAGTTACTACCCGCCTACAGAGGACCTTGGCAAATTCTTGATGTGCTTGGAGAGGTGGATGGACCTTCTTATGTAGTTGAGATTCCTCTACATTTGCATACGTATCCGGTGTTTCACGCCTCAAAGCTTCTACCTTGCGTGACAAATGAGTTGTTTCCCAATCGCAGATCGGCGATACCTCCTAGTACGGATGGGAAATACGATGTGGATAAGATTGTTGCTGAAAGCAGTTTCCAAACCGGACGAAGAGGCAGACCCCAACGACAATATAAAGTAAGATTCGCCTATCAAGACCCAAGTGAAGATCGCTGGTTTACAAGTGAAGATTTACTTGAATCTGCACCTCACATTGTATCTGCATATGAGAAAGCTAACAAAGGAATAAATATTATTGATAGATGAAGGTTTTCTCGGAGGACTTCGAATCTAGGCCAGCGAGAGTAAAAGGGTTTTTACCCGATTCAGCCCCTGTTTGAACAAAGCAGCATATTGGGGTCCCTCGCGCAGAGCCCAATTCGTGAAAGCAGATCAAAAGACATGTTCTCTGGATCAAAGGTCACATCCTGGCTAAAGTAAAGACAATGTCAAAGGTCATGGTTGAGCCCTGGACGAACAGTCACCATGTTTAGATTTGGAGGTCACATCTGTTCGCCAAGGGTAGTGCAAGTCATGTCTATTCAAACAAGGGATGTGTCTGTGCGTGCAGTCAATGTGTCTGTTCGTGCAGAAGGAGTGTCTGTTCGTGCATTACGTGTGTCTGTCCAGCAGAAGTCAAAGAGTTAAGTTCCAGTCCG